AGCCATATATAATATTGTCTTCCAAGGTTTCTTCCCTTGTGCACTTGATATTGGATTTATCATATTTAGTAAGTAGGTTTCAGGGAGCCTTTTTTATTTTATAGTCCACATCTTCTGTGCCGAGGCATGAATGATTGCTCAAAAGGTTTTTATTTTAGGGCATGTCCGCCAAACGCGGTGCGCCAAGGGCCAACTATGGATCTGCATTTCCAGCATGTGTTTCCTTTAAGTTTGTATTATCTTGGCAATTTTTTGATGGCGTTAAATGCCAACGAAAGGCTGCCTTGAAAACACTTGCAATGTGTATTTTGTGCATTTTCACTGGTCGAATAAAGGTATCACCGTTTTGTAGAGTTGGGATGTTATTGTACTTTGCTACACAGCCAACACTGGATACTCATGGATACATAAACTTTAATCTCTGTTTGTTTAAGAGAGGCAAGAAATTCCATATTCAACTAGCAGGTGGCAGCATAAAGTCACTGCTGGAAGCTGTTTCAATGGTAACTGGTCATAAAAGAATCTCAGGCTGCATCCACACTGTAGAAATAATCTGGTTTGATGCCGCTTTAACTTTCCTGGGTCAATGCTAGGGAATTCTGGGAATTGTAGTTTGTGGTGGCTCCAGAGCGGAGCGGAGCCACCACAAACTACAATTCCCAGAATTCCCTAGCATTGACCCAGGAAAGTTAAAGCGGCATCAAACCAGATTATTTCTGCAGTGTGGACATAGCCATAGAGATTTGCTAACACTGGGACAAGGACAGAAGCTCTCATTGACCCAAATTTTGCCATCAGAAAGACATTAAGGTGCCACAACATTCATAAACATAAATCAAAGTTAGGAAAAGAGAGTGTGATATAATGGCTTTGCGTTCTGCTCTAAAAGTAATAAAACTTGTGGGGAAAACAGGGTTAGGTGCAGATCTTAAAAAACTACTACTCATATATAATATATATCTATGTGTATATAATTTACCACTAATTTTAATCTGCTAAAAATAAAATAAAATTGCCTTGGTCTTGAGAATTTGTCAGCCTGCATGTACAGTGGTCCTTCCATGTTCGCTGGGGTTAGGGGTGAAGGACCCTCGTGAGATATGGGAAAACTGCAAATAATAAAAAAAACAAACCACTATTCTTTTTATCTAAGAGAAGATCTCTCTAGGAATTTTATCTAAGAGAAGATCTCTCTAGGAATCCTCCAGTGCAACTGTATGGTCAGCATCGGCCAGAGATTGACCACAGAATCATGCTGGAGGACCTAAAAATGCCTAGCAAGGTGTTTTCTTCCAGGTTCTCCAGTACAACTCTATGGCCAGCTTTTGGCAAAGTTGCGCTGGAAGACAAAGTGATTCCTCGAGAGAATCACAGAATCATAGAATTGGAAGAGATCCCAAGTCCAACCCCATTCTGCCATGCAGGAACT